AGACAGATATTAATTTTTTTTATTAGATTACTTATTTTGCCAGCTGCCATTAAGTTGTAAAAAGCTTGATAAGTATATAAATGATAAGGGCTGGCTTGAAAATATTTTTTTATTAATTATTTTAAGTTAGTTTAGACGATGGAACATCAGGTCCCATGTTGTCCCAAAATGTTATTTTATAATTTATTCAAATAGCTCTTTTTTAAATTAAATGTTTTATAATTTTCCAACAATATTCATTGTATTTTTATATCAGTAATTATACTAAAGATTGTTTAATTCATTATTTTCATGGATTTGCTGAAAGTGGATACATGTGTAATTCATTAAAGATGTTTACAATTATCTATAACTTTCTTAGAATTTTTTAATGAAATAAAAGTCCAAGTGTTGGTATGTGTATTCAGTTATATATTTGTATCGGTGGTGTTGCTTTATAGTGTATGAAGAGATGTTTTTGTGACGATAAATCTTAACAGACTTTAAGCTCTTTCTGGTGTTTGATGTGATGATGCTAGGACTATTTCTGATGTTTAATGTGATGATGCTAGGACTATTCCTAATGTTTAATCTGATGATGCTAGGACTATTCCTAATGTTTAATCTGATGATGCTAGGACTATTCCTGATGTTTAATGTGATGATGCTAGAAGTCTCTGGTATTTAATGTGATGATGCTAGGATTTTCTGGTGTTTAATGCAATGATGCTAGGACAATTTCTGATGTTTAATGTGATGATGCTAGGACTATTTCTGATGTTTAATATGATGATGCTAGGACTATTTCTGATGTTTAATGTGATGATGCTAGGACTATTCCTGATGTTTATGTGATGATGCTAGGACTATTTCTCATGTTTAATGTGATGTTGCTAGGACTATTTCTGATGTTTAATGTGATGATGCTAGGACTATTTCTGATTTTTAATGTGATGATGCTAGGACTATTTACTGTTAAATTGAATTTTTCAGGTTGTGCTTATAAACATCATGATGTTATCAGAAAGAGACATGATGCAGCAACATCAGTGTAATTACTGTTCTAGAACACTCTCATCCCTCTCAGCACTTCAAAGACACATAAAGTCATGTCAGTATAAAAATCTGTCACACCAAGAAAACCCAGGTCTGAAGACTTCACCTCCCGATGCCAACATGAATCAAGGGTTAACCAGAAATTTCATACTTCCACCTATTCCATCACAGCTGACAATAATGATTCACCAAGAGAAAAATTACAGCAGAAGTGAAGAGCCCAAAATTACTCTTAAAAAAATTTCAGATTCAACGTCAAAAGATGAAGATCTTCTTTATCAGAATTTTATTCCTACATCAGTGTCAAGTGGATCAACAACTACGTGTGAAGAAACTTTTTCCAATTTTTCTCTTTCTAAGACTCGTATAAAGACAGAGCACAATGATGAGTCGAACTCTGAGTTGGCTGAACGCACATGTACTTTACAGAACTTTCTTATTCCTCAAAAGGGAGATTTCCAAGAGTGCTATATTACAACTCATGGAGATGGTATAAACTTTATTCATAAGGACTCAAGCTCTTTAGATTCTAACCAGAACATAGCAACAGGTGGAGAATTTACTCAGGGAAAAGTAGCTTGTAGTTTATCTGAAGATTCTATGATTGATAACCAACTGACAGTGTTTAAGACGGAGCCAAAAGATGTGGACAATACTTCAGAGGTGGGAATAATCCAGAATAAAGAATTTGGAGATTTTCAGCTAGATGTGTCACATGGTAGTCTAACAGAAGGGGCTCTGCTGGAGGACATAAACAGATGTTCAGATAATCCACTGAGTTCTCCTGAACCTGACATGTCTGTCCGTCCAGTGGATACATATGGTTCTTCCACTGTGTCTTCTTGTGCCTTACAGTTAATTCAGGTCTCCTGTGCAAAGTCCAGCCTTCTTCCGAGTGTATTTGCCGAAAATCATTCAGAAACTGTACATTCACCCGAACTTGGTAATGATGATCCTTCTGTTTCTGGATGTGGTACAGGAGTAAAGTGTGAGGTAGTATCAACCAGTTATTCGCATGACCACTTGGTAAACACACTTTCACAAGTGAATGATAATTTCACCCATGATTCTGAAGGTTCTTTTCAATCTAGAAGAAATGTTTCTTCTCCAGGAGCAAAGAAAGGGACCATGTTGCAAGAAACCATGGACATATCGAAACATTCTTTGATTCCAGTTTCTGTAGGAACAGTGTTTACACAACAAAACAATAATCACAAATCAGGAGAACCAATTCAAGTACCAGACAGACAGCAATTTTCTGTTTGTATGGAAGACAATAATTTTACAGACAAAGATGATGTTTTTACTCCAAAAGAAAGCCTGTGTTCTCAAGAGAAGATAAAATCAGTTAAAAGTAAACCTCCAGCTAAAAAGCCTTTGCTTACATGTGAAGTGTGTAACAAGACTTACCGCTGTCGTAGCAGCTTTAAGAAGCACATCAGTGGACATGCAGTAGCTACTTTCTTTGTTTGCAAATATTGTGGTCAGACATTTCAACAAAAAAATATATTTCTAGCTCATATAGACTTGCACGAACAGAATGCATTACATCTTTCGTTGAGTGAAACTTGTAGATCAAACTCTCAAACTCCAAGCTCTTTTTTGTGGAAGAGCAGGACAGTCCAGTCAAGGTTTGATACACCCATATCCACTCAGTGCCTATCTACGGGTCTACTCCAAGCTGTAAGCAAGAAACAAACTGATAAGAGAAAAAATAATTCTAGTAACCTATTGCAAGATGACCTGGTATCTTCAAGCAACTTGAAATCTTGGAACCAAGAACAGTTCTGTGAAGAACAACGAACTTGTGAAACTTGCGATATGATCTTTCAAAATGTTCATGAGTATGTAGTTCATCAAAGACTTTGCACTGGTCAAAAAAAAACAGTTGGGAATTATTTACAAAATTCTATTATTTCAGAAGGGAAAAAAACTGTACCAATAACTTACAAATTGGATAAATCTCTAGCTTTTTCCACTAAGCGTCTCAAGAAAGGTAACCCTTCTTCTGTTCTGAAGACTAAGAACACTTCAAAACAATTATTTTGTACAATATGCTGTCGTGACTTTTCAAAAATTGAAAATTATGTCAGACATAAGCGCTTTCACAGTTATCGGTGCCTTGTGTATACCTGTCAGTACTGTGGCCAGTTTTTTAGTAAGAGAGTATTGTTGGATTTTCATGAGAAGAATCATCGTGAAACAAGAAGATGTAAATATTGTAATTTACCTTTAACAGACAAAATTGCATTGAAACAACACATGATTGACATGCACAGTGGTTACAGGATCCTCCTGTTTTCAAATAATACAACAGACTTTGGTTTCTCTAGAAGAATGTGGGATTCACCAAAAATACTGACTAGTATAAACAATAAGACCAATAAAGGGAATATATCATCTCTGGACTTTGCAAACAAAAATGTTTGTCAGTGTTCACATTGCCTAGGTGAATTCGGCAACAGAGAAGCCATGTCTCGACATGTATGTAAGAAACCTGTCTATCCTCAGCAGTTGGATCAAGGAAAGTTCTTTTGTGATGTTTGTCATCAGATCTTTTTTTCTCCAGAACAGTTACAGGAGCATCTTAAGCATTTACATGTAAAGGTAGACTTGTATCGATGTGAAGTGTGTGGAGTGTGGGGCCGTAAAGAAGAACTGGAACGTCATGTGTTGGCTCACATGAGCAAAATGGGACATTTTGTTTCTACAGATCAGAAGAGTTTCAAAGTAGGGGGCAAATTTTTGTCTACAGCCACTGACATAACAGAAAATAGTAAATCTCTGAAGATAGTGCCACTAAAGAAGGCACCTCCAGAAGTTTTTCAGAAGAAACAGTTACATACTGTGTCACTTAATAAAGGAAAATCAAAAGCCAAACATCCTCGGACAGTAAAAAGTGGAAAGTTGCATGAAGTCGTAACATCCCAAAATAGATCTCATCAAGAGTCTAACCTATTTGCTATGACCTCTTCTCATATCAGTCAAAATCAATTTCTCTTAAGGAAAAGATTACTGACAAATAACAGTGACGTTAAAGGTCATTCTCTGGTGGGAACTCGTATTGGAAAAATTTTAGTTAAAAATATTCCAGTATGTAGTCAGCAAAGTACAGTAAAAAATAGCCAAACTGGAGTTTCAGTAAAAAGGATAAGGCCAAATTCTGGAGACCTAAATCGAAGTATGTTATCTAATCTCAGTAGCCTCTTTGAAGTTGAGAAAGTGAACCAATTTACCAGTCAGGATCAGCAAACAAAGATCTTGGAAAGACCCTTATTATCGAGTGAAGAAAAACAAAGTGAAAATACTGCTAGAAGCAATTTGTCCAGAAATCCAGATGATAGCCTCATTAGAAGCAGGTTGCTTAGCAACCACATTGAAAACCTTGAAAGAAGCAGGCTGCTTGGTAACCAAAGTGAAAATCATGAAAGAGGCATGTTAGTGTTAAACAATCGAGGTGATACAGACAGACTTCCAAGTAAACAGACTGAAAATTATGATAGAAACAGACTTTCCAATTCCAGCAATGAAAGTGAAAATAATAACCAGTTACGTAATAAGTGCAGTGAAAATTATGACAGAAATCAAAATGTTAACCTAGTAAATAAGAGGTCACCCGCCTCTAACAACTTACATGAGAACCTGGTTACAAACCGTGTTAACCAGGTTGAAAATTTAAACAGGATCAAGATATCTAGTTCATGTAACCCAAATCAGACCAGTTTAACTACTGGCCTGGATGAAAATTCTGACAGAAGCAGGCCACCAAACTTTGGAAGTCAACATGAACAGTCATACAGGAACAGTCCTAATCACAGTACAGAAAGGAAGAGGTTAAGTATTAGCAATGAAATTGAAGTTTCTGGTGTCAATGAATTACAGAAAATGGGAATAAGTACGTTATTAAGGAGTGATAGTCATGCTGAAAGCAGCAGTAGTCCATGCAGTGCTAGTGAACAGTCAGAGAAGGATTTCATGACCAGTTATCGTTACCAAGATAAAGACTTGGATAATGAGTTAACAAATTACAATAGTGAGAATAGAACAATTGAAATCAGCCAGTTACCCGTTGCCAACAACAAGAGTGATAATGATGACAACAGGCAGATGTGTCACAACAAGAGTGTTGTTTCAGATACCAGAAAACTGTGGAATACAGGAGGCCATATGGATCGGAATGTGGAGTATTGTCTTCCGTGTGAAGAGTACATACCGTTACATTTATTCTCCGGACATCTTTTAGAAAAGCATATGGATGGTGGTGAACGGTCAGACTTTTTTTTAGACTTGCCTTATTTGCCTGGTAACGAAGAGATGATGGATGTCTCCGAGGAAGATCCTGGACTGTATGAGGGTCTTTCTATTGATGATATCTTTGAAGAAGAAACAAGTGGCACAACATTAGAGACCGAACTAACTAGTGAAAGAGAGGGATCGATAATATTCAATGAAAATAACCCTTAACAGTGAATCGAACTGTTTCTGTATTTGTGATACCTTTAGTTAAGAAGTATGCTGAATAATTATTGTTTTTTTATTTCTAACTGGAACATGTAAACATGCTATAGGTTTTTTGATTTAAAACATCTAGCAGTGTTTGGTGATAGTTAGCATTTCAGTAAGATAAACATTTGATTATGTGGTGCTTCAGAAAACAAAAGTTTTTACTGGGCGATATATCAGCTCCCATAAATTTGCACCCTGTCTAGCTGAGGACTGCACTTCAGAGCTCATTTAGCTTCTGTGAGTTAAGGAATGCCACCTAGGGACGAGTGACAGAAGTTTCTCATATTAGGTTTTTCTCATGCTTTCTCTTGGAATAATGTTGAATGTACTCCAGTTAGGCCTAACTCTATATTTTGCAGTTTTCTAGTTACTGTTGTGACTGTTTATGAAGTCACACCTGATCTAGCTGTAAAGTCTCAAACAGTTTTTAATTTGAGGGAATTTAATCCTGAAAACACTTTTACCATTGTTGCCCAGATTTGTGTAATATAGACAATAACACTTTTACCTATTGTTACCCAGTTGTGTAATATAGACAATAACACTTTTACCATTGTTGCCCAGATTTGTGTAATACAAACAATAACACTTTTACCATTTGTTGCCCAGATTTGTGTAATATAGACAATAACACTTTTACCATTGTTGCCCAGATTTGTGTAATATAGACAATAACACTTTTACCATTGTTGCCCAGATCTGTGTAATATAGACAATAACACTTTTACCATTGTTGCCCAGATTTGTGTAATATAGACAATAACACTTTTACCATTGTTGCCCAGATCTGTGTAATATAGACAATAAGACTTTTACCTATTGTTACTCCACTGTACATCAAACTTGAAAATATTTTATTTTTCCATTAAATTTTTATAATAATTAGATATTTTATATGAAGGGTAACTGGTTAGAAAAACAACTTATTTTTTGTGGTATATTTTTTCACTTCCAAACATACTATGGTGATGTGTTTTGTTAAATGAATAAATAATATGTTATCTTGTTTTTATCTCGTATCTTTTTAACCAATATACATTTACACACTAAGTTAACATTGAAAATAGGTAGTATGTAAAAAAGTATTGAACACTCATCTAATAAAAACAACAAACTGTACAATAGTTTATATAAACAAGAAACTGTACAATAGTTTATATAAACAAAAAACTGTACAATAGTTTATATAAACAAGAAACTGTACAATAGTTTATATGAACAACAAACTGTACAATAGTTTATATGAACAACAAACTGTATAATAGTTTATATAAACAACAAACTGTACAATAGTTTATATAAACAACAAACTGTACAGTAGTTTATATAAACAACAAACTGTACAATAGTTTATATAAACAACAAACTGTACAATAGTTTATATAAACAACAAACTGTACGATACTTTATATAAACAACAAAG